GGGCCGGTCCAACCGGTCGGTTGCCGGCACCGCCATGATCTTGATATGATCCGATTCAATCAATCAATCAATCAATCAATCGATTCAACCAATGAATCGATTCGATTCATTGATTGAATAGAATCTTGATCTTGATTCGATTCGTTGATTGATTCAGACAGAAAAAAAAGCCAAACAGCCCTCTTCTACGGCCTCGCCACCGTCGTCGTCCTCCTCATCTTCTTCTTTGACGTCGTCGTCGTCCTCGCCCAACCCTCCTCCTCCTCCTCCCTATCCGGATCCAGACTTCCCTCGTCGTCGCCCTCCCCTCCTCCTCCTCCGCTACCCTCCTCCTCCTCAATCAATCAATCAATCAATCGATCAATCAATCAATCAATCAATCAATCAATCAATCAATCAATCAATCGATTCAATCAATCAATCGATTCGAGACTCGATTCAATCAATGAATCGATTCGATACTCGATTCAATCAACGAATCGAAGGGCGCTGCTGAGGGCAGCGCCATAGCCCAGCCACCATAGCTGATGGGCTTGGACTACAATGAGGCGCAGGGGTGGTCTTCGGGTGTGAGAGAGGACAGGTGTGGGTGTAAGTCAGGGAAGGGCGAAGGACGATGATGATGAAGATGTGAGGGCACTTACCTTGTATTGGCGATGGTCTGCATATGGGCGACATCTTCAAGTACTTCGGGTTGCCGCTGACGTCAATAGTTGCATTGTTTATTATTAGGCTGATCGTAGCTGTGTAGGAGTAGGCTGGGCGCTGAGCGCCAAGTAGGAGTGTGAAGGGACTGGACTCTTGTGTTGCTGAAGGAGAGAGGAAGCTCTCCATGACATTGGTTTTCAGTACTATGAGCCTCCATTGGTGTAATATTGGTGCAATGCTGCTCTCTGGACACAGTGTGACTATCTGGCTTTTTATGTGATGGTGTAATTTGGATTTGTCATCTCGTTGTTGCTTATTTTCCTTGCAAATGTTGAATTTCCTTCTATTTTCTATTCCCTGTAAAATTTCGAAGTTCTTCTATTGTTTTTGAAATTCCTTTGAAATTCTTTTGAAATTTGTTTGAAATTCATCTTAATCTTGTAACAAGTCAAGGAATTTTATTCATTTGATCTAGATAATCCTGGAATTTCTCTCAACTTAATTTACGCGGCTATCACTAATTCTTTATGAACTTTCATCGTAAATTCTTAATTTAGGAATTAGTTTTCTACTTTTATTTCGAATTGCCTTTGAAATACTTTTAAGTCCGAAAATACATTGAGGAATTTTCCATTTTATTTCAAAAATTTTTGATCAACTCACCTCTACCTCTTCTATCATCCCCCTGAACTTTTGGAAATTCTTACGAATATTTTTGAAATTTGTTGAATTTTGCTTCAATTTCCTTTAAAAAATTGAATTTATGCCCAAACAATTTCGGAATTTTATTTGACCTCGTGACTGACTTATGCATGCTTTTGTCTATACCCCACGCCATCCCTTGAAAATCTCTCCTCGTTTCCCTGCGTGAATTGGAAATTTTCACTGCTTCCCCCTCTCCGAATTTGAATTTTCTCAATTTAATTCTGGAAATTTGTTAGACCTCATTTCTAATCGCCTTCCTCTCACAGTCCCTTACCCCCCCTTCTGCGTGTCACCCTGGCTCCCCGTGACATCGAACAGCGCGCACTCCAAAATCGCGCTCGAGACTCTCGTGCCGCCAATCGACGCGATCGCTTTGACGTACCGACCACGGCCACAGATCGTCCCTCTCGTCACGGTGCTCCCTCGACATTATCTTCATCTTCTTCATCTGTTGACTTTATGCAGAGTGCAGAGTCAGTGAGCCCCTCCCGCTCCATCAGTGAAGGGCTTGCGCTACTAGCTTGCGATACCATGGCCGATTCGACTCACATTTCCACCCCTATGGCCACCAGTTCGGGTCCAGCCGCCGAATCGGATCGCCTGCTGGCTCTCCTCGAGAACATGCAGGCCAAATTCGAGGCCAGGTTAGAGGTCAAATTCACGGCCCTCCATACCGATTTTTCATCCCTGTCGGCCCGCGTGTCACAGCTGGAGCCCTGTACCGGTGCACCTCCCTCCCCACCCCCCTCATCTGCATCTATGCCAGCTTCCTCTCCTTCTTCGGCTGGCGTCATCTATACGCTTGTCTCTTCTACGGGTTGCATGCCCTCACCCCAGTCCCACCCTTCCTCTGCAGCCATCTCTTCCTCCCAGGTTTC